TCCGCCTGGGCTCCGTGCCATTGGTTCTTGTTGCTGGGTCATATGGGGGTTGCGTTCATTGAACGCCGCCTTTCCTTGTTGATCTTGTTTTTCATATTTTTAGGTTATTGAGAAGTTTCTCAATTCCTTTTGCTCCTATTTGGATATCTGGCATAGAAGGGACAGATTGACCATGCTTATGGTTCGCATGGACGCATTGGATAGGGGAGATTTGGGGCTAAAGACTGACTGGAAATGCTTATTTAAAGCTGTAGCCTTTGTGACATCAACATAGTGAAAATTATTTTCATACTTTAATGAGGATATAGCAGATGTGTGTTGTTTTGAATGTTTAATTAAGACGTACAATCTTTTTGTGTTGGGTATGTGACCATTTTGGGCATCAGTGTTGCTTAAATTTGAGATGTCTTCAAGATACTGGTTATAAGCCTCTTTAATCTTTTTCCATAGTAGCTGTTTCATTTCAAGTCAGAAGATGGTCCTGATGTATTAACCTTTTGAAGGCCCGGTTTCTTTTTCTGATCAGTCTCTTGACATGTTGATTGACCCAGGGAAGGTGATCCCTAACTGAAGCCTTTTTGGATGGAATCCATTTTTCAGTAAGAGATTTAAGGGTATCTGAGAAATTTTCCCATAACTTCTCTATATTTAGTGCAACGTATTTTTCATTTGTTTTCATAACCTTGTGATAGTCAATTAGTGACTATTTTTGCCAGTTTGCTTGAATTAAATTAGGCTTTTGGTAACTTATCATTGTGGATGTCTTGACTTTCACTCCAACAATATTGTAGTCACTGATGCCTGGTAGGATATGGACCTGGTTTGCTAAAGTGGGGTTTGTAGTATGGAATTAATCAAGAATGTTATTTTCTCGAATAGGAAGGTTGACCATTTGGGTGAGGTTGATATCGTTGAAAATTACGATAACCTGTCTGTAAAAGGAAGGGTGTTTGCAAGACTGGGATGGACTAGAACTTTCCCAGTCCATCTTTAGAAGGTTCAAGTCCCCACCAACCCAGATATTTGTGAATCTTTTTTATACTTTTCCAGAGATTTCGAGAATTCCAGAAAGCTTTCTGGATCTAGTACTTGCTTCTGGATCTAGTCTTGGGGCTTGTAGTACCCTCCGATGACTAGAGACTTATTACCAACTAGATCTAAGTTATCCCTTAAATCTTCCCATTGTAATTCAAGTTTAGGCATTTCTTGAACAGCAATGTCATTCCTAATGGCAAAAAAATCCCTCCACCGGACTTCACTTTGCAACCATAATGATGAAAAATATATAAATAATGTATTGTTTGCTTTTTTATCTATTATTTCAGTTATTTTGGTAGACATTCTTACTTGAAATAATGGAAAAAAAACTTGTCAACAACTCCAAGCATTAAATTACTTCTTGTTAACATGTTTAGTTTCTTAGCGTAGGTTAAACCAAAATGCCGTATTCGTTCTGTGTATTCATACTATTGTGTTTGAGGTCCTTATCCGAAGACTAGTGGAAAGGGCCAAAACGTTGCGATTGATGTATGTATATGATGTATATGCGTAGGAATATTTCATTATAACTAAATTTGTATAACTTTAGAGTTAAAAAACAACAAATATTTAAACTGCACATATATGAATTGATCTATTATTATGAACTAACTTCTTCAAAATATCTTCAAGTCAAACTAATGTCATGATATCATCTAAAACCTGTAAAATACTACTAGCCAATGCTTTGTAATTGTATTTCTTATGATGTGTGGTTGTATACAAGATAAACAACTGTACTATCAGAGGAAACCTGGAAGACAGGCTACGGAAAATGAATATTTATTTGACATTTTACAAATTGTAATCATTGAATAAACTTCCTGCAATTCTGGTTGTATCATATCTTAACAATTCAAACTCGTGTTCCTTTTCCGAGTTATGCGCTGCATTCATTTGGATAGTTTTCGATCAAAAAAAAAGTTTGGAGTTTTTAATTCCATAATTATTAGTTTGGTCATTTTTCGAACTAGTATAATCTGCTGTTTAAATAATGAAAAAGACAGGTACAACTACCAATGGCTTAACGGATAGTTTGACATTGCCTCATATAGGTAACTTACTTTTGTAGTAGGAATTTTGGACAAAATTTAATAGTATGTTTTAAATTATACAATACAACATCTCTATTAAAACTAAAATAGAAAAAAAAATCATCATTTATATACGAGATCTACCGAAATCATAGTACTTATAACTTTCCCGCCACAAAACGGATGTGGTTAGGCAATCTCTTTCTTCATTAAAATAAAAATTTAAACTTATTTATCAATACACCTATGATAATGATGAATAACCAGGTCAGCAATGTCAGACAAACGCGTGAGAAATCAAAAATCACAACCTGGCTGATGCAGTGAGTATCTTAAGAAAGGTAGCAAATAATCCGCTCAATAAAATTATCTAAGGGCTCAGTTTTTTTTGTTTTTTTTTTCAACGGGGTCAAAATAGAATGTTAGATTCCCGTTAAATTAAATGACCATGGATTAAACAGTTTACACACTGTCAAAAGGTAAAAATATCTAGGACACTGGATACTACTAAATTTGTTAAAATGCTCTCACCAAGATCTGTTTTAATCACTGGAAGTAACTCAGGCATCGGCCTGGAGTTTGTCAAGCAGTTTCTTAAACTGTCGAAGCCGCCAAAATTTTTGTTTGCATGTTGTAGGAATCCCCCTGCAGCGACAGTAAGTTAATTAATATATGCCATCTCATTTTGTGACTTTGATTAACGATTATACTTTCAATGTCAGAAGTTTAAAATGCTATAAGATAATTGAAAATAAAATGGTGAATAGTTCAAAGTACTATCAATGATAGCAATTACAAGGGCTAGTATCAGATTGGAAGAAAATGCCTATGCATTTTTATCAGATGAAAAACATATACATTTTACCTGGGGCATTTTATAACTGGGCACTAACGACGTGTTACCTTATCAACCATCCTGAGGCGCTATTGATAGTTGTATTTTTCGTCCTAAAGTAGATGACATTATTTGTTTTGATCAATTGTTAAAAAGCTCTTTTTACTCCACTGAGGGGTTGTGAGATCGGACAAATATTATCACATAAACATGACATAAAAATTATTTATCAAATTGAATGTTGAAAAGGAAAAATATATAACACTGTAAAATATGGTGGCTGATTTGGTACGCTTTTTTGCGTCTAGTTGGTGCTAGCGACAAGCGGCAAACGGCGCTTTGTCGCACAGTCGTCCTGTCTCTAGCGCGGCACGCCAAACGGCGCGTTGTCGTGCGGCCAGTTGTCACGCATGATGTCACATTGTCGCTTGGTTCAAATTTAAGGATTGGCTTATAAGACAAGCGACAGGGCAACATCGCGACAACGCGCCGCATGACAACGCGCCGTTTGGCGTGCTTTGCTAGAGACAGGACGACAGTGCGACCACGCACCGTTTGGTGCTTTGGCATGTTGTCGCTAGCGACAGGACGACAAGATGAAAGTCCGACAACACGCCGTTTGGCGCTTTGTCGTGTTGTCACTAGCGCCAACTAGACGCACAAAAGCGTACCAAAATCAGCCACCATAGTAAGAACTTATTATCAGGCCTTTGTTTCACAAACATAAGCAATAATTATGATAACTTGAGAGAGACCTAAAAGTGGTTCAATGTTCTTTCAAATAATCATATGTATTTGAAAGACCTTGGTTGTTCATAACTCTACCCACCATATTAACTGTGATCTGAAGCCAAATTTATACACGAACAACTCCACATACAAATAGAACAATGCATGTTGTACTCAATAAGTTTTGTGTAATAAATCCACAGATTTGCAACAGGTACGTAAAGAAATAATGAAATGCACTGAAAATATTATTTCTTATGTAAATGTAATTTTGTTACAATTGACAGAATAATCAATGGTAGGATTAACAATGATTGGAACACTTATATCTATTTTTTTCCTGTAAATTTTACAGGAAGTCAAACTGAATTTAGATGGCATTCGGCAGAAATAAAAAACATTCGTTTGTAAAAGAGTTATAAATAGACTTGGGTTTTAGGAAACCGATGTGGGAGTTCACAAAATTCTAAGGACAAATAGGTTTTAACTGAGGTAATTTTGAAGTGCAGGGAGACTTGGGTTGGAAATCATTACATATACCATTTTTTATAAAGGAAGAAAGAATAAGAACAAAAATATAATGTAAAATTCTGTATATCTTTTGTTTTCTTTGGCATTTTTCAGACTTTGAACGAGATTGCAAAGTCAAATTCATCTGTATAATGTTGTTGAGCAAGGTAAGGAATTCTTCAGTGCATCTTACATCATATTGCTCTTCTTCATTTAAGAAATACGAAAATGGAAGTGATTACAAAGCACAAAATTCAAATACGTCATTCATTGGTCTAGTTAGATTAACTTTAATAATTATCTGAGACAGTGAAAGTCATGCATACATTTTCATGAACATTTTAAAAATGTATTTTAAAGTAAAATATTATAAGTGAACAAAGAAAGTAAATAACACGTTGTAAACGGCATTTAAATAACCCACACACAAAGCCATACTATGCAAAAGAAATATAGCCCAAAAATAGCCATTTCTACGTTAGTCTAGCAGTAGAAATATTGTGCTAAATATTGCAAAATCAGTCATTAATCACACATAACATATAAATTATTACTTGAATCTTATACTTATTAACTCTTCTACATTTTTCTTAAGTTTGATTATCTTGAAATGTTTTGGCTCATCTGGAGGCAAGGAGCTTTGCTCAATTATCAACCTGTGTTAGATTTACTAGATTTAGCGAAATTCTGAAAGACAGCAACACAGAATATCAGTAAAATATTGTCGTTAATGCCAAATATCAGGCCCTATATAGTCACAACATTCAACACGGTGACCAGGGACTTATTGTATAAAATGAGACAAAAAGTCACAGGCACTTTTATGTATGGTATCCAATTTTCAATTATTTCAGACATTTTTACCACTGTTACGACAAGCTGCTGGTCAACAGTCTTCAGAACCAATGTCATGTGGTAAAGCTGCTATCATCAATATATCAACTGGTGTAGCTTCTATCACTGAAAATTCGTCAGGTAGAATGTACCCATACAGAGCGTCAAAGGTACATTATATCACTGCAAAATGATCTATCACATTGTCTGGATATAAGCAATGTTGCTGGCTTCCAGTAATTCATTAGGATAGCTGTAATATTCACTTGAATGTTTGCATGTGCGTCCACATTGGCGTCACATTTTGGTTGTTGTTGTACATTAAAGTATTGCCTTGATACCTGGAGCACCACTGTAACATTGCTAAGAAATTTTGAGATATTTATTCCTCATATTCTACCTCTGGTCAAAGTTTCCGTATACTTAACTGAACATTCTGAGGTATTGGTAGTAATTATTAATATCATTCATGCGCTGTAACTGGCAGGCAATGATAAAAGCCCGTTCAACATTTAGATTTTCAGTTAATGTTTTCTATATGAAATCTGGATTATTTATGCAATATCTAGACAAGAAGACTTAACCATATAACACATCTTTATGTCCCATTTACGATTTGATAACAAAGACGTTTTATTCAACTAAAGTTATACAAGCAGTTCTACAAACAGTTCGTATTAATCAAGATATGAGATCATAAACATTATGTCAATCAATGATTGTAATAAAGGGCACTTCATTATTTTTAAATACTTTTTGGTTTGGAATGTTCACTATCTAGCAAAATAATTGCACCCTGTGAAGCTATCTTGATGATTCTTTCAGTGTTTTCCAATAAGATTTAATAAAAGTATGTTTTTGCAACAGATTATTAAATGTATTATTTCTTTTTTTCTTTACACAGGCTGCCCTGAATATGATCACATCAAACCTTAGCCTAGATCTGAAATCTGATGGTATTTTATGTACAGCCATACATCCGGGCTGGGTGAAGACTGAAATGGGAGGACCAAATGCTCTTATTTCTACAGAGGAATGTCTTAAAGGAATAATGTTTGTCCTTGAAAAACTCCAAGGGGATGAGGAATCTGGAAAATTTTATCATGGTGTCAAAGGACATGTAATTCCCTGGTAGTTTATGTATGTAAAGCTACTTGTTTGAAGGTCAGAGTGAAAATATGATCAACAAGATCAACAAAGAAAGGCGGCGTTCAATGAACGCAACATTACTTTATCAGTTGTCTCTATCAGTATGATGATGATACATATATACACGTATATTCTCTTTAAAACCATATACATTGTAGAAGGTAACTTTAATCATTTAGCCATCAGCTTCTATTGTTTAACTGTCCATGGACATCAATATAACAATTTAGAGTACAAGTCAGCCAAAAGTATAGAGCCTGGTCATACTACAGTACAGATATGCAGGCTGACCCGGCTCTATATGATACTGGTGTCAAAGGATGCTGTCAATTTGGGTTGGGGTAGCATCAAGGTAAGGATAATAAGAAAAAGCAAGATACCTAATGTTTTTTTTTCTGAACGATATAAAATATTTTGTTAAACATTTTAGTCAGCTAGCTTTCACTAGTTATCAGAACAATTTTCGGGTAAAGCAGTATATTGTTCAATAATACCTTTTAAAACATATCTCGAGTATGACTGAGGGGTTACAACATAATTTGAAATATCATAAAGGGAACAAACATTCACTAGTGCTTTTATATATGGGTTTTTCTGACATTGTTGTATATTTACATTGAAATCAGCGAATATTGTTTTATTAAAACTTGTAAGTCTTTAAGATGTTTTCATTTATTATTAAGGTTTTATAGAAAATATTAAAGGGAACCCTTAACAGGACTAGATATATTCTGTCAAGACTCCTGTAACATTTGATGTAGGTTTGGACCAATAACTCGTATGCAAATTTTCAGATCATTCTTTCACTCCATAAGAAAAAATGAAAAAGTGTTTAAACTTTTTTTAGAGTTAAAATGCGTTAAAAATAGCACAAAATATGATTTTCAATTTAATCATGAATGTATTTCTTCTTCATCTTTGGATATCTTTTTGTTTTAAAATTGCTCAAATTGATGTATGTCAGAAATTCAAATTTAATATGTACCTGAGTGGAGTTTCTTTACACTTTATATTACAATGTACATTTGTAGTTACAAAGAAATAAAAGATCTTTTTTTAAATGACCGCAAAACTGCAGTATCTTACATAAAGTCAATAGGACTTTCAACAGTTTTGCAGTCAATCCTCAATATTTCTCTGTTTACCTATTATTTCTAACTGTATAGTATCTACCCTCTTCTTACAAATATTAATCAGATGTATCATTATAATAACAATGTACATGTATTCAAAATAACCTGTATTGCCATTAAAATTAAACGAGAATATGTCATTTTGCTTTTTATATTACAATGTATATCCAACATTATTATATCTACATCTATTAATTGGTTGCTTTAACAACATAAAAATTCAGTAAATTGCATGGTCGTTGCAGTGTAAAAACAATTACATGTATATGAAATTTGTACCACCCAGATATGTTTTATGGGAAAGTTTATACTTATGTGCTTTATGACATTGAATAAAATTTTATGGTATTTTATAAAAAAAAAATGCCCTTTATTCATTCAAACATATCTCTTTTGTTTTCCCTACATCCATACAAGTTCGTCTTTGCTCTGGCTCTTCCCATGTACAAAATCATAAAAAGTTTATCCTGGCCCCCTTTATCAGGTTAATATTAGCTTGTTATTCACATTAGCTGTTTATGAAGAGTCTAATTACCAGTTATATAGATTTTCAGAAACAAATGATTAAAAAGTAAATTCCAAATTTGTTACTATCAGCTATAAATGGCTCCATTCTGGTGCACTCAAAGGCCTTATGAGATACAAATACACAAGGTGTCTTTGTTGATTGCTAGAAAAGAAAATAATTCTTCAAAGTAGATGGTTATTAGGTTCCATTTTGGTGTGAAATGATTTTCATTGTATCTTCTTTATTTCTTGAGGGACTTACTTCAAATTCCAAATATATTTATGTTCCCTATCATCATATGTTAATAATTCTAGCACCAGTATTTCCACAAAAATCCCCCTTTTACTAAAATTTTCTTAAATACATGTAAGATAATTGTTGCGTTTTTCTGCACTGTATCTTCTTTGTTTCTTGAGATACTAACTTAAATGCATGTTTCTTATCATCATCCACTTCAAAATTAGGGTTAAGGTCCGGAACTATATAATCAATATATCTAAAATAAAGCAGGACCTTGATTGGTAAAGAAAATTAAATGCACGACATTCTGGCACTCATGATACGCTTGGCTTTGCGTTGTCTTTTCGCGAGTTTGGTAGCCCATCTTATCCCTTGCATGTCTCATTTCCACTGACGGTATCAGCAAAGTATTAACTGTTTAGGATAGATTTTAAGCAATGTTTTTGCTGTTTTTACCCGGAGACGTTTCTGTTCTTCTGTCAGCAAATTGGGTATCCATCGTGCACTTATTTTCTTTATTTAGAATTTTATCAGCAGATCCTTTTGATACTGTACGAGCTATTTGCCTGACTGTAAACCTTGCATTAGAAGATACAACTTCCTTGACTTTTGCAATGATTTTTGGGGATGTTGCTCTTTTTTTACGGTGCTCACGAGGGGCATCTTCTAAGGACATTTCACCACATGCAAATTTCTAACACCATCGTATAAACGATGCATAAGACTTCTCATCATGCCCATAAATAGAACATATTTCTTGAAATATGTTCATTCTAAATACATGTATAGGAATGTTTCTGGTCAGCAATAATTGAGCTTTTCCAAACCATTTTAGTATTAGTATAATACGAGTACATACTGTTTATCGTTGTATTGTCAAAGCTAGACTGAACGGATTTACAGGGGAGTGGTATCAACTGAAAATCTAATTGATAAAGAGAATCTAATTGATAAAAGTAATTTTGCGTGAAAACCCGTGCAAAGGTATAAGATATGCTCCCAATTGCATTGCAATTCGGACACCCCTCGTATTTAAAGTGTTAAATTTTGCTACTTTTATCGCTTTTATGCTTAAGATAATTAAGTATTCTCTGCCATCACTCACATCATGTACGACAATGTTTATAACTAGCATCTTTATTTCAATAGTGACCTCTTTGTTGTTGTTTTTTTAAATTTACTTTAAAAAAGTTACTTCTTACTCTTATTATCTTTGCTATCTAAAACTGTTTCCATTATAAGACGGCAATATCTGTAGATATTTTCTGATTCACTCTCATCATGTCCATGTCATGTGGTGCAAATACGTTGAGTAATCTTTTAGAAATATATTTATAATTATCTTTAAAGACAAATTTTGTCGTTTGTCTACCGCCCTATTTAAAAAGTCAAAGACTTCTGTCTCCTGGGACAGCTCTTAATATAAATTGTGTACATGAGAATTTTCTCTTGCTATGATATCTAAGCACTAGGTCTTGCAAGTTTTAAGTTGAAAATGTTTTAAATCTGTTTCCTACATGTATTTAAGTACATGTATTAAGCAACTAAGTTTAATGATTCATACATGCCACAGTGTGCTGCAAAATATGTTATCTGAAGGGCAAAGACTCAGTTTCAGTATCTTGTCTTCCATTGGGGTGCACAAAGGAGTCAATATGTCACATTTCATTGTGAATGCATTGATTTTAATGGTTCAGTGACCATTTTCCAATTTTTTATAAAGGCCTTCAAGTGCTGCAACATGTGCCAATAAACACTTATCTCTGGGCTTGCATTGGTGTGCACAATAGTTTTAGGTCAGCCGTGCCAGTATTGTCACTACAATGTATGTGTTATGTTATCTTTGTGAAGTAGAACTATAAAGTTGCGTATTCTTTCACTCACTGCTACAAGAAAACAGCTCTCCAAGTTAACATTAAATATGCTAATTCTGAAACAAACAACAGCTCCAAATGTCAACACGCCTAAATATGTGCTCAATATCAACAATTCCTTTTAGGGGGCTTAGAAATAAATAGAACATGTTATTGATCAGACACAGATTTTAACTGTCACTGTGATCTTCGACTAAATGACTTAAATATCGATAGGGATTATAAACACGCTTTGGGTCATGTAAATACATAGTTTCACAAATGCATGCTTTTTCATCTCAAGTTATTGATTGGACAACGATTTTAGTCGGTCACGGTGATCTTGACCTTTGACCTTATAACCTCAAAATCAATACAGTTCCTAAATTGGATAAGGACAATGTCCCTAAGATGTTTCACAAACCTAGGCGTATTCCATCTCCAAGTTATTGATCAGAAAAGGATTTTACACAAAATGGTACTGTGACCTCAAACTAAATGGGTGTTCTTTTCTGGCCATGATAATATGCTTACTAAGTTTCACAAACTAAGAGTTATTCCACTTCAAATTATTGAACGGATAAGAAATTTACTCTGTCATTGTAAACTTGACCAACAGACATCGATTTGGCTAACAGATGAACAAATTGATGCCATTTAATAATAGACTGAAGTAGCTTTTGGGAATAAGATAATACATTAACATTTGTATTTGTTATAATATATCCAACAAAAAAGGGGCGAAAAGGAAAAAAAACAAAGAGAAATTATCTGATAGATTTTTTTATTATATCACAGATTTGGCAGCGATAGGGTGAAGGACACATGTACAATATATTTACCATGGTTACAAACAGTGGTGGTTAGTTACCATAGCACCAACCAATCAGTGACAAGTATCACAAGTCATGTGATATGGACGGAGTACTAAGTCTTCTTTCCTGTGTCAAATACTGACCGTAAATTATTGATATCATTGTTTATATTAAAAAGTCTGTATGTCTGATGACTTAAAATTTTCAGAACAAGATTTAACAGATTAACCTGTCTGCTGGCTCCAACACAGGTTTCCACATTTAAATCTCAGTATATTCTGTTGGCATTCTGACATATAAACCTGTCATTGATTATTAAAAAAGCTACGATTTATAAATATTTTGGTGACTTTTATTAAAAGGTGGAGACCATTATTTAAATCATTTCACTTTTTTCTTTGCCCTTCTTCTTCCACAAAAAAATAATAAACATTTTGCATTATGAGTGTAAAAATTGTAACTGTAATACTTTTTTCTATATTTTTAATGAAATCTTTTAAAAAATTTAACTTTTAAAGAATTACACTTGCAATAATGCAATGATTGTGGGCAGTGGAAGGGTTAATTAAAGTCATCAATGTATAGAAATCTTAGTTTCTGTGTTTTTCTTCAATTTATATTTCTAAATTTGATAAACTGTAAAAATTATCTCCTAACAATTATGCTTTGTCTCTTAGTTGGTTGTTAGAAGCCAAAATATTCTAGCATGAAAATATAGCATAACTTGGTCAAAATTTGACATCTTTTACATACAAACTGTCAATCCTTAGCGTTTTTACATGATATTATATAAATGTATTTATAAAAGCTTACAAACAAACAAAAGAAAAGGAGAGCTGGAAATATATAAATATATGAAAATGCATGGGGAAAAAATCGACATATAAACAAACAAAAACTTAAAACAAAAAAGAGCACATGGAGTAATTGGCAGGCTGGGAAATAAAGTTTCAAGTGGGAAAGCATAGGAAATGTACACATATAAAAGCTATGTATAAATAGGTATTTGTGTAAAATAGGATACAATTCTTATAAAGGCAAAAGAATAAGGTTAAAAACTAAGTTCCTACATTATAACTATAATTATGTTGATTAACAAATATACAACTCTTATCACAGATATCAGTTTTAATCAGATATATAGTTTTACCCTTTCTTTATAACCTCCCTTTAAGTACAAATTATTTTTGTACAGAAGTTTACTATGTGTGAAATATTCATAAATTTCAGAAATTCTTAAAATGCAATCTTCAAGTCTCATTAAAACTTTGGCCAAATAATTTATTTCTAAAAATTAACAATAATTTTAAAAATCATTTGTAAAAATATTGCCGAAACTAGAAAAAGTACTAAAAAAATTCCCAACACAAAAAACATCAACCCATTAACAAAATTGCAACAATTAACATGTTAATTATGGTGATTAACATGAACAAAAATAAAATCATAGCACATTCTGGTTTTCAAGACATAAACATATTATACAAGTCAATAATTTTTTTAAAACAACAAAGAAAATTAGGTTATAACTTCAACAGATGATAAAATTACATGAACAGAAATCTCGAAATGCAAATTCTATGAATCAATTTTAATATTTTACAGGAAAAAAACTTGTATTTTACCACAGCCAAAAAAAATTAAGCTTCTTTAAGAAATGAAATTCTTGCCTAGTTTTAAATATTTATTGTTATTGCTTTTTAACTTGTAAAACAATATGTCAATTTTGCACTGTACTCTCTAAAATTTGTGTATGATTACAATATAAATATTACTTCTTATATAAACCCCTGGGACCATTTGGGTGGTTTAATTTGAGACCAAACTTTCATTATTTAAAACTATCCTATCAATGCCATAATAATCAAGGGCAAAATCTACATAGGATTGATAGATAAAAATGATATTACATTAACAGTCTTTTATTACAGCCTATCATATTTAAATCAGAGAGTGCCATTAACAAACAAGCAATTAGTGTGGATGGGGGGGGAGCTTATATTAGAAGAAATATGATATACATATTTCATTATAACTATATGCTTGTACATAAAAGTCTTAATATTCAGCAGGATTAAACAAGTTAATTGTTCTCTTGTAAAAGAAACTTACAATAAATGTTCATGATTTTCATAAAATTTCTTGTATATATCAATGTTGTCGCATAGTGTGTGATATTTATGAATTTCTGATGAGCCATAATTTATATGTACAGCTGAGAAGGACAGCCTAATATTTCATATCCATGCAGAGTTAACTGCCCTTTATCTATACAACTGGTATATGCGACCACATCTTCATACGTCCTAGGTTGAAATCTCCCTCGCCACCTGTCGAGACCTGTTTTTTGTACTCAACAAGAGCATGCATGCTCAAAGGCTGCCAACTGCTGGTATATGTGTTCATTTGTTGGTTGCGTGTGGGTAGAGGTGCCGAGTAACGTAACATAGAATCATCTGAAATATAAATATACATATATAATAAGAGGTTAATACACGGCAGGAGAGGGCTGGAAGGTGATAATCGGCCCGCAAAATGAATAATGGACCTGAGGGCCATTATTCATTCAGGGCCGATTATCACCTTCCGGCCCTACTCTGACGTGTATTAATGTCTTTAATACACTTGGTAGATCTAATAGTAGCATTTTTAAAAAATAAAAAAAATAAAACAACAACAACAAATAGAAATCTACTTTGAAGTTCTTTGGTTGAAATTCTTGTGTTCTGTACGGAGATGTTTACTGTATGTGTGTTCAAAGAAGCAAGTTTTATTTTCATTTTTTTTTCGGATTGAATTTGTCATATTATTTCTTCAAATTTCAACAGTAACAAAAAAGTGTTTGTACTAAATACAATGTGCTGTCAACCTACTTTCACTTTTACAGTTAACTGTTTCATGACGTAAAATATGACGCCATTGTTTCAGTATGTGCACGTGCACATGTTCTGCGGGCTGATAACTAGTTCTCGGCCCGGGCCGCAAACTCATAATAGGTCACGTGACACTCATAATCAGTTGAAAACATAGGCAATTTTGTTACTATATATAGTAACAAGTGTATTAATAGATTTTATCAAAGTTAATTAATTAACAAGTTATTAATATCATCAATGAAGATAGTCCTAATTGCTAATAAATCATTATTAATAGAAGATAATTCATTAATCTTTTAATTAATTAGAAATGAATAATATGATGAAAACTTACATAACTATGAATTAGAAATGAGTAATGATTGGTGAATACTTGAGATATGGAATGAGTTAATGTGTGAAAAAATGAGTATATAATGACACTCACCAGATCTCGGTATATCAGGTGTGGCAGATATCATCCCACCAAGGGCAGAGTAAGATTTTGGTACATCACCCTGGTAGGGTCGAGGAATATCTTTATTTTCTCTTTCTCCTTTGTATTTCTCAGAAAACATGCCTTTAACAGTGGTATCTTTCTCTGATAAGAATAAATATTTCTGTTTCTGTTGTGGTTTCTGGTGACGTGACATCATGTAAACCATGTCATCATCGAGCGATTGCGTCACTTGTGGTTGTTTCCCATCTCCTTCTTCAAATCCCTCTTCTTGTATTGTGTTTTCATGTGCCACTCTACCTCTTGTTTGAAGCCATTTAGCATAGTCAGGTATTGTACTGTCCTGTTGAATGTTGAAAGTGATTGATAAGTAAGAATTTAAGTAAAATAAGTAAAAATGTTATATGTCAACATGTTAAACTACATGTAGCTTTATTCACAAAAGACAGCTCTCATTAATAATGTAGTAATGTTTTCTGAATACATATTTGACTGTAACATCATGAAATATGATTTTGTTGGGGGGAAAAGTCACCAAAAATGGACAAAATTTATACAACTATCACATCAAACTTCATCTTAAAGATCAAATAATCAAGCCAGTGAGAAAAATATTATTTAAGAGTGCTCTCCCTTACTCTTTGAAATAAAAGAATGATATAATTTCTTTTACATTAATGTAACAAGTTTGATGTGGATACATTGGAAAATGTATAGAAATTATAAAACAATAATGAATGGTGGAATATATCCTTGACTCGGAAAATTATATTTTTTGAGTTCTATAAGACATCAACATTTCTCGATATGTCTGATTATAAATTGACTTACAGAATACATATCATCTTGCCAGGAAGGTAAGTACAGGTCGATTCCCTCACATCTCTCGTGAAACTCTGGTAAGGGATTATTGAATGTCAACACCTCAGTCCTGTCCTGGTTCGACACCGAGGCTCGGTACATCAAATCCGACTTGTGCCTCATCTTCCGCACTCTTTGCACTTTCCTGTTATCAAGTAACCGGGGCATTTCTGGGAGCTGAAATTTGACAAGTTTTTTTTTTCCTCAGTCTCCTTTTTTTCTGACTTTTATCTTAAGACAAATCTTTCTTGATCATGTTAGTTTACAAACATGTTGTTATTTCCTAGAGAGATTGGATGATATACACAGAGAAATCTCTAAAAATAGTGACAGAAAAATCAATAGCAGAAATGGAAACTACAATGTGATGCTTAAAGAACGGAAATGATATAAAATAACCATAACTTGAAAAAAAATAAAATAACTGTAACAACTAGAATCAGATAAAGATTTGAAAAATCTAAAGAGATAAATATAAACGTATTATTATTATTTCTGAGAAACGAAAATAGACTTTTTAAATAATAAGACATTTCTGATAGTAATTAATGAAAGTAATAAATATAAATCTTGACCTATTAATTAAGTAGTAAATTAACTCAAAGGCAGTTAATTCAGACCTTTAAATGCTAATTAAGAAAACTAATATGTCCCAAAATCTATATCTGTTTCCAGTGTCCAAACAACATGTAAAATGAGCTTGAAAACATTTCAGTAAATGTACATGAAATTGTACTGTATATTATTTCGTAACTGGAAACCAACTTTACTAATTCTAGTCTTGTAAAAAGAACACTAGAAACAGATACTGTTTTTTGGGGGGGTCTTAAGTAAAGAAGACATGATAAGAGATAGAAGTTTTAGTTCTACTAACATCGTCCTCAGTGCAGAACATTCGCCGAACTGGGACAACGATTTCTCTTCAGAGACTGACGAGCAAATGATCCATAGGCTTCCTGCAAAATCATAACTAGTATAACTCAAAATAGAAGGAAAAAGAAAAAACAAAACAGAAACAATGTATCAGCTAAATAGAAGACTAAAATATATTAATCAGTTATTATATATAGAACTACATGTATTATTATTCTACAATTAAAGGAGGAAGTTTTGCTACATGAAGGACAATAGTTATGTTTCATTTATAGATTTTATATACATTTTATTTACTTGAAATTATTAATAACTCTGAGGCGGCTTCTGATTGAGAAATTATAAAGATTCTCAGCAGACGCAATTTCTAAAATGCTCTCAACTAATTTTTTTTTCTCATAAAACCACAACTCATATTGCATGTACTGGGATCCTACATATTACCGGACAAAATATGATGTTTTTTCGTTGTAACTTTTAGCTAAAATAATAGAAAAGAATGAAATTTTACCTAAATAATTGTGGGTTCTTGATATACGTAAACATTCCTTTATCAAACATAAAATTTAACTTTTGACCGTAGAAATGTGTCTTTAAAGTAGGGCATTAAAAGAAGAAAAAAAATCGTGCAGACAACTCAATTTACCGGACATTGTGTTTCAAAATATTTTGAAGTGTAAAATTGAAATTAAGCAAGGAAACTACGACTATTGAATGGCAATGTTAAGATACTGGAAAAAACCAGTATGTCACTAAAATAGACACATGCTTGTTACGAAGAGGCCAATATAGGGGTGTAATTGAAATAAACACTATTAACTCAATTAACGTATTGATTCTTCATGATCCTTAAAAGTATGACACATTTTGATATTCAAATGGAATTCTGTTCTTTCTCATACAGTTTCCTTTTGATCATCATGTAGCATGTTGCAAAAGCCATAAAGTCTATTTTTTGTACATTTCATGTAGAGTTTCCTCCCATGTGCGTAACCCGTTTCCTTATATGTTTTTAATTTGCATTTCTTTGTAAAAGACAACAACAAGATATTGTTTGAACGAAATTTAAAATGATTTTTTATCCTTAAAATATGTTACAATTGTCTCTTGAGTTAACTTTGAGAAGAATTAAAAGTAAAATCTATCTAAAATAAGTTTAATAACCCATTAAGGGCCTCATTATTCGGGAATGCGCAGAACAGATTATTCCCCCGCATGACCAGGTCATGGAATAACTAGTAAACTAAAGGGTATGTTAGTAAATAAAGAACTGAATCAACAATATTTTCCTGAGAGTGGTTTTGTTGTTAATTACTTTGCAGTAGAAAGTGTGTGTACGATTCAGACCGGATGATTTTTGAATTGAAGCAAAAAATAAAGCCTTATTTGACAGGAATAGATTTTGTCCGGTAAACTTATTGTCCGGTAAACATGTAGGATCCCGGTATAGTGAAATAAAGTGTCTTGCCACAAAAAAAGAAACTAATGGATAATAAAATAAAATTACTCTGATCATTTTTTAAGGCACAAGAGTAAAACCACCAATATCTCATGAGCTTACTGAATTATCTTTCCTGTATAAAATTTGTTTCTTACTCTCATAAGTATGGAACCATTCATAGTCAAAGTCCAAAACATTTTATTAACAAAAGCAACTATATACATTTTGTAATTATTGATTAAGATTGTAACAGTTGATATTGTTGCCGTACATTTGATTTCACACACATTTAAAAACAAAAAACATCATCAACAGTTTGCATAAAATAACTGGAAACCTGCAACAATTTAAAACTGCATGAATGCTTCAATGCTAGACCTCTATTTCTGTTTTTTGATAATGATTATTTCATAGTTATTTCAAAAGCATTTATAGCATTTAAAATGTTTCTGCAGCGGGCAACATGCATTTTTTACATGCACTTTAGAGATCCTAAAACGAGATAAAACGTTTTACATTAAAAGACATTATCATATCTGTTACATTATGAAAATATGGTTTTATACAACACTGCGCGACGTATAAGTGATGTTAGGTTATGTAAGAATTTCTTCAGTGCAAACAAGTTTATAGTTCTATGAATTATGGAAGGTCATATAAACTTACACTCAATTTATACTTTTAATCAAGGATTCCTAAAATAGCTTTTTTATCATTTCTAGTGTTGTTTTAAGCTCAATTCCAAATTAAGCATTAATTATATACACACACACAATGACATTTTTCTTCCTTAGAGATATTAGAAATTTCAAACTAAACTACCTAGAGAACAGAAAATTAATATTCTAAAGAAGAACACATTAAAAACATTAAAAGATAAAATTATTATAGCCTTTGATAAGGACATAAATTATGTAAAGTAATTATTATTTTCTTTCTACTTTTCTAAAAATAAAATAAAATTAAAAAATATGTAATATTATATTGGTATTTGAGGTGTTAAACAACAGCTGTCCATAATTTTGCATAACAAAAAGGTTATTACTGTATATAAAGGCAACACAGAGTTATGGAACTTGTGCCCATCGTGTTAGATAATCATAGGGAACAAATGTGTGCAGTTCTTCAGCAATTTTGGAGAAACCAACTTTCACACAAAACCTTAACCAAAGCGTGATGGTGATGCCAACTCCGGGTAGAGTACACTAGCTCTCCTAATTCTTTGAATAGTCAAGCTTAAATACCAACCATTAAATCATAATTCCAAGTCCATTGGCAGTAGTTGGGCTGAGGATACAGTATGTTTTGTGCATGTACAATATTATAGTCATATCATGACAACAGTCAAGTGGAACAAACTACTATTATGGCTTCTTGTACTGATACTAAGGGTATGTACAATGATGAGATGATATTTTCAGGATAAAATTACAACATATCAGTTAAAATCTTGATTAGAAAAAAAATATCTAGTCCATTTTATTTTACTTCTTGAAGAAATTAACTACAAGTTCATTTTATTATACAGTTAGAATTTGTTAAATTGATGTTAGTCATTCAGTATGATTGGTCAGAAGACTAACCTTTAAATCTTCGGGTATCATGTTATCCTCCTTCAACAGTCTCTGGTTTGAGTCATACCGTAGCGTTTGCCACAAAGTCTCAGCCCCGGCCCGACCTGAAGGTGATTGAAACATGTTAGTTTGTTTATTTCCATGACATTCTCTCAATGTGTGACTATATCATATCACAAAAAACATACATATTGAGTAAGATAATGCACCCCTTATGTATACAGATGTGTAATCTTGTTCTATGAAAATTACATGTATATGTAATTAACGTGTAGACTATAACTTATATATAGTTTAATTAACCAGATTGTTTCATATAAAACCTTAAAACATATATGATTACAACACAAGCTTACATAAAGATTATGTCACACTTTATAGAAACATGATTAAATCATGTCACAACAATTATATCATAAATCATTGCCTTAGAAAAAGTACCTTATCATGCTATATCTGGGACTTAAAATGTCCCAGGTTATATTAGGTACAAAAATACCAAATTCTTCAACTACATTTTAGCTACAGTAATTGCAATATCTGTTGCAAATTGAAAATTTAATGAAGAAAAATTAAGCTCCATGTCAAATTGTGACATACTAAAAAATAACTGAAAACAATGCCAAAGACCCCATTTTTTTAGTGTATATTTAAGCACAAAAACCCTTTTACCAGGATAAAAAACCTTTCCATAAAATTTCCAGGTAGGACAAAAACCTTTCCATAAAAATTCTAGGTAGGACGAAAATCTTCCAATAATGATTTCAAGGAAGGACAAAAACCCTCTCATAAAATTTACAAGTAGGACAACTTTACATCTATCAACTTTACAGGTAGGGCAAAAGGCCTCTCCAAGAGGGTTTTTGTTCAGCTCCTTTTTTTTGATATAACATAATTATACAATTAAAAATACATTTGAGCCGCGTCATGACAAAAACAACGTAATGCGTTTGCGACCAGCATGGATCCAGACCAGCATGCGCATCCGCGCAGTCTGATCAGGATCCATGCTGTTTGCTTACAAACCCTATTACAAGTAGGAAAACTGATAGCGAACAGCATGGATCCTGATCAGACTGCACGCATGGGCAGACTGGTCTGGATTCATGCTGGTCGCAAACGCATTATGTTGGTTTTGTCATGACGCGGCTCATTTATGAATGAATGTAACACTAATTATTCTCTTTTTCAATCATTAATATTCTAAACAATTTTAAAACTTTTTGAATACAGTTCCAGTAAGCTTCTGCTATAGTTCAACTCAATATTACATGTTTCATTATACATATAGATCTAGATATCCAAAATAATCTTATAAAGTATACATACAGTATATAATAATATTTGTTAAATAAATTTCTATCCAAGGGAGAAAATTCAAAGTTTTTCCGTTTTTGTTTTTGTTTTTTTTATCTTCTTTTCTTTTTGTAATTTCTAAATGAAAGTGTCCATAACTATTGTAAATCTTAACCATAGTAAATGAAACTTGTTATATTATTATGGTATTGTTTCAGTCAAACTTGTATAATAATGTAAATCATATAAAGTAATTTTGCTTAATCAAACATATCCATCAAAACTTTCATATATCCTCTTTCATTATACAAATTTGACTGAATTATGTAATAGAAAGAGCACCGAAACACGAGGCTATCTGATGTGTACGAGGGGGCGTAGCCCCCGAGTATTAATCAGATTGCCGAGTGTTTTGGTGTTCTTTCTCTTTTGTATCATAGTCAAACATAAATGCACGTTCCCTGTTGTCACAATATGAAACCTCGACAAAAATGAACCAATGAACGAACATCTATTTATGACATTTCTGTCGCTTTCCCTTTCTCTGCCGTCACAATATGTAAACCCCAGCAAAAATGAGCCAATCAATGGGCATGCTTTGGAGTGCGGGTAACTAATACCTGCACTCCAGTTAACGCACTGTGCATGTATATGTATACGATTTAACCCTGACACATTTTCAACAGAAAGGTCTCCAAACTATGATACAATTTTAAATATAAAATCTGGGATACAAGGTATATACATGTATATAAATAAAGCACATCATCAACCACCATAATAAAATATTAATTTGGGAAAATGATCCAGTTAACAATATACAGGGTAATTAAAACACATGCATTCAGGATCAATGCTGAAAATAAAATTTTATAATAAATTATGTCCCTTTAACCTGTAAAATCCTTTGCGACCAGTCTACATAGAACCAGAGCTGGATTTGCTTGTCAGGCAGATATCTGTATACTCAATTCCCTAATCTATGATTTTTGATTTGCAAAAAAAAAAGTATTTTTGTTTTCATAACAAAATATTCTTTACATAGGAAAATCAGAAAACAATGCTTTATTTCATAGATTATGAATGTTACTTGTTGTATGCCAGATTTTCTTTTATGAACAAAATTCAATTAAAAAGTACAGGTTTCCATCTTGAAAAAATTTAAATGAAACACTCTCTGTCTTCAAACTTGAACATCTATAAATAAACATAAATGACAACATCGTAACAGGAAACTGTCCAATTTCCTGTGATAATTTCTGTGTATTTTATCAGCAGAAATATCCAACAATAACCTTCTTTTTCCCCTCACTTTAATTTTTATTTTTTAATGATGTCATTTTCTAAAGAAAAAAAAAAACGCCTTTGGCTTTTAATTGCATTGCCAATTCTTTACTCTAGATTAAAACTGCGCTATAAGAGCTTTAATTGCTTGATCAATGGAACAATTTTAGAAGACTTGCTGATGAATAAGGTGGTCCAACAACGGAACATCACAAATAATTCCTAGTGGAATTACTAAATATAATTAGCATAGGACATTACTTTTTCAGTAGTCTATCAATGTCCTTTTTAATAAAAAGCATGTAAGCAGCAAATTCCAGTTTTCTTTAGCTTTGCTATTTGTTCAACTTTATAATTATCAGAATCGACAAAATGCAAAGATAAGCTAGCACAAATTTTATCCAATGATAAGTAATATATTCTTTAAATAAAAATACTGCTTAAATACACAGGGATTAGCATTTGGTATAAAACTGTAAGCATATAAATAAGGGAATCACACAGAATCTGGTCAAGGTCACTGGGAGTCACACCAAGGCCAAGGTAAAGGTCAAGGTAAAGGTCATAATGATTTTACCATCTTCATATTCCTGCCAGTAATGGTCAAACAGCTTATCCACTTCAAAATAGGAAAAAACAATACAATTTTTAATTTACAATTGTTCAAACATTTTAAAAGTACTATTACTAAGTATAAGAGTGTATAGAAATAACTGTGAGGCATGAATATATCAATGATTATGCTGTGAATAGAAAATAATGTGAGATTCTATATAAAGAAATATATATTGAAGATTATGCAGTTTTGAAACAATTATGACAGGATAGCTCAGCATGAATCCTCAATAAATATATGAGCCGTGTCACGACAAAACCAACGTAATGGGTTTGCGACCAGCATGGATCCAGACCAGCCTGCGCATCTGTGCAGTCTGATCAGGATCCATGCTGTTCGCTTACAAAACCTATTACAAGTAGAGAAACTAATAGCGAACAGCATGGATCCTGATCAGACTGCTGGTCGCAAACCCATTGTGTTGGTTTTGTCGTGACACGGCTCATATCATGAAGCATGTAATAGAGACAAATTGAGGATTCAGAGCAAACTTGGTGTAACTTCTCTAGGTTAATAACTTTTTGCACTGAACACTCAGATTTGGTACAGAACATCATAATTTAAATCTTTCAACATAATTAAAAAGCAAAGCTGTTTTATTTGATGTTGCTTTACTATTGTGCCACATTTTGTTCTAAAGACTGAAGAATTTGGATGCGAATAAATTTATTCCAAACCACTGTTAAAATCTACATTACCATACCTTTACAAAGTTTTAATTGATGAAAGAGTGACATCTATGATAGAATGTGGTGCAAGTTATATATGCATATCAGATAAAGTTATTAAAAGTACATACCCCAATTACTCATGTCTTAATAGATAAAATAATATGTGATACAATCATGAAATTGGTCAACAACAACATTTATAATAATCATTTGCCCCATCCCTTAAAGCCCCCAGCTACAAAGAAATGCCTTAACTTCTGATTTCTTATTTGAAAGAAGTTTGGTCATTCTCCTGTTCATATACAACAGACTTTATATACACATACACTAATATCTTTATATTACTAGTACACAGTTAAACTGATGTACTTTTTCATTATGTTATAAATAATTTTATCACAGAATTTATCAATGGAAAATCTTAAAATGACACCAACAGATATATATATATATCTTTATAAATCTCAAATCTTAATAACATGTTTTACAAAGAGAAATATTTTTTTTGACAATTTGACAGAAAGAATATATTAACATATTGTTATGATATTGTCTGTGTTCTGTCAAATATTCCTTATAAAAATATCTCATCATAAATAATCCTGATAAATTTATGTTTTACAAAGTTGAGTTAACGTTATTTGGCATTATAATCTTATTATGTACTACTGAACATTAGGATTTATCTTGTAAATGTGTTCCAACAAAACCCCTTTATAATAATTCTTACAATTTTATTATCAAACAGAAAAATATTTTACTAGTCACTGACACTGGGGATATAAGCAGAATAAAGTAGATCAAAAACATCATTATATCCTTAATTAGTTCTATATATGGTGATTTTTCTTGATACTTATAATCATATAGCTACCTAGACAAGCATCTGTATCATTCTGATAACATTTTTGCTCTACATCATCTGGGTGCTTATTTAATCAATATTATAAAATCATTGGGTAGCAGGAGATGCAAAATATATGCAGTCTCAGGTATTGATAAGATATTTCCATAAACAATCCTGTACTTAAATATAAACATGTAAAGCTAAATATAAACCAAAAGATTTTCAAATTCAATTTAGATAGAATTCATTAAAGCAGATGATTTTGCAATAAACATATTTTCTACAATAAACATAACCAGAATGATCAAATTTTGTTTTAAAAGAGCAATTTACTGCAATTCCTTCAAGATGAAAACTTTATAAAAGTAAATATGTAGAAAAAATTTAATACCTTTTTCATTTACATAATTGTTAATGTACAGAAAATGTTGGTTTTTCACTAACTAAAAAATATACATCAAATTACCTGTACTTTAGTTCTCAATAAAAATAGATTATAAGTTTTTCAGAATAAGCAAAATATATTGTAGAACTCTAGACTGTAGAAATCTTAAGAGCCAGGGTGCATCACTGACATCATGTCAAGTTGATTGCATCATACTCTATCATGATCACAAGATCAACACAATTTTTGCCAGGAAACAGCAAAGTATACAAAGGTATACAAAATGTACTAAATTTCCATGACATTTCCTCTATCTTTTTATTCATTTTAAATGTCTTTTTCAGTCATATTTAAGGAAATGAGACTATATATTAATTTAAAAGTGCATTTTTCAAGGAAGATAACTCCCTTGGTCATGCACTCTGCAATGGCCTAGGAACATTTAAGCAAAATGTTTATCTTTATTAAACTTCTATTATCTTTGACATAATAAATCTGAACAGACATATTGTCGGATTTCAATTCTCTGCTTTCATTATAAAATCTTGCTTTTATTTGTAGGAGGAATATGTGTGCCAATCAGAATGCGATGAAATATTTCAACAGAATAATACCTTACAGAACAAATGTTTTTTCCTCTCATTTTAAGAAACACCTAATTCATCATTGCCAAAATGATCTATCATTTGGTTCAATGTAAATTTACAGGCATTAATCAAACTGCAAATATTGCCACGAAGAAAAAACAAACAAAAAATTGAAATACACACCTCCCTGTCTACGGAGCTTTGGATTTGTTTTCTTCTCTTGTAATTTGTTTTCAATCTTCGGATGGAGAAAATAATCTGCCTTCTTTCCATAAAGTTTGTAAAGCTGTTGTTCATGCCATGGTAGGGCTGAAATATAGTTTTGTATAGGGTAATATTATATTTTTCGGTTAGGTTACAAGGCAAATTAACAAAATTCAGGTCATAAAATATCATGCCAGCCGTACATTACAATGTGAGTGGACACAATTTTTTTAATAATTCACTTTTTGAGTGATAAGCTCTGGTGGCTTCCTTAAATTCCAATTAATTATTATTAATGTCTAATGTTCTTCATTCGTTTTATGCAAATTATGCCATAAATCTTTATATCTATGTAAAATTTTGTGATGAAAAAAATAATTCCAAAACAAGTTGATGGTTTTTAGTCTCTTCAAGGAATAATTATTCTATGATCTTGGTTCATAACATAATTAGACAACAAATTTGATGTCTTTTTTACACTAAAATATTTTTTGGAACAATTTAAGCAAGACCTCTTCAATCTCAAGTCTGGTATAGCCTACCAGAAGTTATAGAAATTAGATAATATATTGCAATGCCAAAAGTTGAAAACAAGAAAAACATCAATGGTTCTCTCTGTCTGTAACAGAATTTCAATAATCTTCAGATTTTCATTTTAGGACAATTTTTATCAGCCCAGACCAATTTATACAACCAAAGATTGAGTCCTAGTCTAAGAAAAAGTTAGAGTAAAGCAAAATTTAAATAAACTGGAAATTTGCTTCCCCAGAACATGGATGTAGCTACTTTAACAAGATATGTTTGTAAAACATGTATGCCCCCTATCAGCAGCCAATTATTCATGTGATAAGGTAATTATGCATGACTTCTGACCCAGTGATCAAACAATTAATAAGGGTTATCAAGTATCTACTGGTCATGACCTTGACCTTTGACCCCTTGACCCAAAACTCAATAGGGGTCATCTGCTGGTCAAGACAAATCATCATACAAAGTTTGAAGTTCCTAGGCCTAAGCGTTTTTACTTAATTGATCAGAAACCGTTTTTACTTACAAGGTCAATGTGACCTTGACCTTTGACCCCTTGACCCCAAAATCAATAGGGGTCATTTGCTGGTCATGACTTATCACCATGCCAAGTTTGAAGTTCCTAGGCCTAAGGGTTCTTTTATTATTGATCTGAAACCGTTTTAACATACAAGGTCAATGTGACCTTGACCTTTGACCCCAAAATCAATAGGGGTCATCTGCTGATCATGACCAATCACTATGCCAAGTTTGAAGTTCCTAGGCCTAAGCGTTCTTAAGTTATTGATCAGAAACCGTTTTTACTTACAAGGTCGATGTGACCTTGACCTTTGACCCCTTGACCCAAAACTCAATAGGGGTCATCTGCTGGTCACCACCAATCATCATACAAAGTTTGAAGTTCCTAGGCCTAAGCGTTTTTAGTTAATTGATCAGAAACCGTTTTTACCTACAAGGTCAATGTTACATGACCTTTGACCCCTTGACCCTAAAAACAATAGGTCATCTGCTGGTCATGACCAATCACCATACCAAAGTTTGAAGTTCCTAGGCCTAAGGTTCTTAAGTTATTGATCGGAAAGCATTTTTACCTACAAGGTCAATGTGACCTTCCCTTTGACCCCTTAACCCCAAAATCAGTGAGGGTCATCTGCTGGTCATGACCAATCACCATACCAAGTTTGAAGTTCCTAGGCCTAAGGGTTCTTTAGTTATTGATCGGAAACTGCTTTTACCTAAGAGGTCAATGTTACCTTGACCTTTGACCCCTTGACCCCAAAATCAATAGGGTCATCTACTGATCATGACCAATCACCATACCAAGTTTGAAGTTCCTAGGCCTAAGGGTTCTTTATTTATTGATCCGAAACTGTTTTTACCTAAGAGGTCAATGTGACCTTGACTTTGACCCCTTGACCCCAAAATCAATAGGGGTCATCTACTGATCATGACCAATCACCATATTCAAGTTTGTAGTCCCTAGGCCTAAGGGTTCTTTCGTTATTGATCGGAAACCGTTTTTACCTACAAGGTCAATGTGACCTTGACCTTTAACCCCTTAACTCCAAAATCAATAGGGGTCATCTACTGATCATGACCAATCACCATATCAAGTTTGAAGTCCCTAGGCCTAAGGGTTCTTTCGTTATTGATCGGAAACCGTTTTACCTACAAGGTCAATGTGACCTTGACCTTTGACCACTTAACCCCAAAATCAATAGGGTCATCTGCTGGTCATAACCAATCACCATACCAAGTTTGAAGTTCCTAGGCCTAAGGGTTTTTTTGTTATTGATCGGAAACCGTTTTTACCCAAGAGGTCAATGTGACCTTGACCTTTGACCCCTTGACCCCAAAATCGTTAGGGGTCATCTACTGATCATGACCAATCACCATACCAAGTTTGAAGTTCCTAGGCCTTAGGGTTCTTTACTTATTGATCGGAAACCGTTTTTGCTTACAAGGTCAATGTGACCTTGACCTTTGACCCCTTGACCCCAAGATCAATAGGGGTCATCTACTGATCATGACAAATCACCATACCAAGTTTGAAGTTCCTAGGCCTTAAAGTTCTTTAGTTATTGATCGGAAACCGTTTTTGCTTACAAGGTCAATGTGACCTTGACCTTTGACCCCTTGACCCCAAAATCAATAGGGGTCATCTACTGATCATGACAAATCACCATACCAAGTTTGAAGTTCCTAGGCCTTAAGGTTCTTTAGTTATTGATCGGAAACCGTTTTTGCTTACAAGGTCAATGTGACCTTGACCTTTGACCCCTTGACCCCAAAATCAATAGGGGTCATCTACTTGTCATGACCAATCACCATACCAAGTTTGAAGTTCCTAGGCCTAAGGGTTCTTTAGTTATCACTCGGAAACCATTTGGTCTACGGACCGACGGACCGACGGACCGACAGACCGACAGACCGACGGACCGACAAGTGCAAAGCAATATACCCCCTTTTTTTCAAAAGGGGGCATAATTATGACATGGAATACAGTAATGAGAGCTGAGCACTTAGCTTTAACAAGAATTTAATATTGAAATTGACCTTATAGAAGAGGGGGGCAGACAATCACCATGTATCTTCTAAAACTACCAGGTTACAATAGTAAATTGTATGTCTTACAAATCAGTGTGATCTTCCTGAAAGAATTAAAAGTTACAAAGAGATTCTTTTTTTTTTTAATTTAAAGAATACAATATCAGAGAACCTCTCTCAACTAGGTATAATCCAAATTAATTATGCTACAATTCTGATCATGAAATATCCTTTGAAGGATATCTTGAATTTCCATGTAAAGTAAGAATGTATGACTTTTAAGACATGTTGACATGAACCAACTTTGTTACCTGAACATTTAAAAAACATAACAATACACACATGCTTCAATCTCAGTTCTCCAAAACCCATTAACCTGTCACAGAAACTTCAAACAATCTCTTAATGGAATTTGTTAAAATAATTGCAGAAACTATTTTCAAGAAAAATGAAAGCTCTAAATACTTCTTGTTTGTTATTATATCATGTTACTGAGAAATTCTGTATGTAGCTTATACAAGAACCATGGTGACACTGCATCATTATGCTTGTGATCTACTCACATTACAAATTGTCTAAGGTTAATAAACCATAAACATATCATTAAAGTACACAAAGAAACAAATCTGCTACAAGGTTTTAAAGGAAAAACTGAAAAACGGCAAATGCTAAAATAATGTTGTAACATAATTGCTACAGCCAAATGCTCAAAATTTTAATTAACATACTGGTGGCAAAGCCTTATCATTTTCGGTTTCAGCAGGTAAATGATTAAAAGAAATGGGCTGATTTTACCTTTAACAGGAGTTGATTCCCTTTCCTCTTCATCATCTTCACCATCCGAGTCAGGGATATCAGGTGTAGGTGCAACAGCTGGTAGTGTCATCTTAAATGGGTTGCTACGTCGACCCCCAGGTGTTGTTGGTGTCGTCGGAGATTTAGATGGTGATGACGGCACTGTGGAAGTGGCAGAGGATAGGGTTGAAAGCCCATTCTTTGACCTTGACTTTCCAGCTTGTTTCTCTTCACGACTTGCCTTCTTGTCTTCCTCTGTAAATATTTGTGAAAATAGAATTGTAGATTATAAACTAGTATATTATATCATTTACAGATTTCTCATTTAGAACTGGCGAAAATAACGGGCTATAATCAGCTATCTGAGCCATTGTTTCCTGTGCCTTAATTAACTAATACACTGCCTGAATTAACTATAATTTAATTTACACTGTCCTTTTAGTAAAATAATCACTTTCAGTCTGACCTTATATTATTTGAACATAAACATACCTGACAATTAAGAGGTGTTTCAACTTAACATAATACAGTGTAACATTTAGCAAAATCTAACCTGTTCCATCATAACTATCTTGTAACATTTAGCAGAATCTAACCTGTTCCATCATAACTATACTATAACATACAGCAGAATCCAACCTGTTCCATCATAACTATTCTGTAACATTTAGCAGAATCTAACCTGTTCCATCATAACTATACTATAACATACAGCAGAATCCAACCTGTTCCATCATAACTATACTGTAACATTTAGCAGAATCTAACCTGTTCCATCATAACTATACTGTAACATTTAGCAGAATCTAACCTGTTCCATCATAACTATACTGTAACATTTAGCAGAATCTAACCTGTTCCATCATAACTATACTGTAACATTTAGCAGAATCTAACCTGTTCCATCATAACTATGCTGTAACATTTAGCAGAATCTAAACTGTTCCATCATAACAATACTGTAACGTTTAGCAGAATCTAATATATCTTCTCACAGACTGCTTTCCTTTTCTACTGATAAGAAGATAGGTCACTTACAAGAGCTAAAAGCAAACAGGTTTTGTAATATTTAACATTCCTGGACCTGGATCAGATTTAACCTTTGCAGCAAATATAGTTAGGCCAACCAGGCTTTATACTTTATACTTTTGGGTGATTAACTCAAATTTTTAGATTTCATAACCCAAAATTGATAATTGTCAATGTTAAGAATTCAGTGTCTAACAGAAGCATGCATACATGTGATAACCAAAATATCACCCTATTTTAGATTGCATGTTAATAAATATGCTTGAACCTAATATCAGTTTCTAAGATATAGACTGTGACTATTTTATATTAAAATATACTACCAGTCTGAATGTTTGGTCTGGTTATAAGTTTTTTCTGCCTATTTTTTGGTCAATAGACGTTATCAGATTGTAACAGCTGTTCCAATATATACAGCAGACCAGGAAATTTGATTTCCTTCTTTCTGAAATGTTTTTATATTGACCTTAACATGGAAGTATACAGATGGTGACAATATGCTTATATACATATTTTATATCTTATATCATACATTGATCTAAAGCCAAGAGGAAATTGAATTCACACAATGAGTTCAATTTGAAAATGTAAATAAACCAAGTTTGGTTTTATTTGGTAAGGGGTAGGGAAGTAAACTTGTCTTCAGGAGGACATTTGGTAATCTATAAATTATCATATATTTGCTAATACCAAAAGAAACCCATGCTTTTCTCAGGTATTAAACTTGAGTGCCTCTTATCTATAGTTAATTTTTTGTTTAAATTGAAAACTGGTTTGTAATATACTTTTTTTATGCACTGCATGTCACTGGATGTTTTTATAATAATTTCAAATTGCTCAGATATTTATGTAAGGAAACTACCCAGCTACTGCTTACACATAGTTGGTTTTTCATCAATATTTCAGTTTTTGGAATAAAGAATTTAATTTTTTTTTTTTGTTAGATAGGTAAGTTCCAACAGATATTTATAGAAATTTTCTTGAGCCATGTGCATTATTTATTGTTTATGCGAAGTAAATTATCAAATGAAAAAAAAAAGAATTATGGCAAAATGGAAACTTATTTGACTTTTACCTGTTCACTCACTATATACCCTTAGATGAACATGTCACTTTAAAAAAGGGCCATCACGCTAAAACAAAAGATATAGCTTTCAGCATAGTATTAGCCTCTTGTTTTACAACTGCACCTTGTCATATTTGTTACCATTTAAAGAGTTTGAATAATGGGCGTACATTAATGTTTTTGTTGATGACACAGCATTCTTAATTAGCTTGTCTTTTCAATACAACCTAAAACAGTAGCCCAAACCTTTCTTCTGGACAATATGTAACATTAAAATTAATGTTTCCTTGATGAGACCCTACAAACAACAATTTAAAGCTAAAGCGCCTTTTCTTTCTTTTTTGTTTCAATCTGTTCTAATAATACACAGTCACTGTGCAGAAAGATAAGGGATAAAAACAGAATTTTTTTCCATATATGGCATGCGGTTCAATTATCTGAACATTCCCCCCCCCATTCCCCCCAATAGCTTATCTCTCTCCCTCATCTATGATAAAACATGCAAACATCCTATACATCTTTCTCCTCCAGAAAAACGATGTGAGAATGACATGCTAAAATCAATTTAATGCTTTCAAACTGAAAAACATGTCCGTTAGAAAAAAATCAATTTATTTAACCAATCAATTTATCTAACCAAACGATAAAAGCATGGTTTACCTTCGATTGTTTCAAGACTCTTAGATTCCATGGTAAATATAATACCCCAACGAGAATATTTCAATCAATTATTCCAATTAATTCACAGCGGATATTATATCTGAGACAATTAAGACCTGATATTGATTAATAATAAACTGATTTTCAAATGAACAAAAACAAGTTTTCCCCCAAGTGCGAATAAATATCATACTTTTTTTCTGTCCCAATACACAATTCGTGCTAGATTTAAGCCACTAATCATATTAGAAAGGTAACCAAGATTAAGTACTGGTGACACACTACATGTACATTATTAATTTGCATTAATCTAATTCCTCTGATATGGTCGTAGAGAAATTGAGATTAGGCCATGGTTAATGAATTATAAATCAAACTTACCAACAAGCATAATTCAATCAAACACAATTCAATTATCAGGCTGAATAAGGCTACTCAAAAATGCTTCACTAGCAGTTGTTTATTTGTGGGTTACAGGGGTTGTGTATGCTGACTTTAACATTTTGGTTATCTAAATCGGTACACTTAAGTAGTTTGAGGGAAACTGTTTAGTGTGGCCTGTCACGAGGCTCTGCCAAGTCTCCCCACTAAACTCTTTCCCAAAAGTTCTACATACGCATCGGTGATAGCAGCAAAGTGTTTGATTCTTTTTCTATAACATTTTACAGATAAATTATATTTCAGAAAGAAACTATGAAAACTAATATTTTCATTTAGCACCGAATTTGCAACTCCATTCTAAACACCAAAATGACGTCATCATATAAATGCACTTCATTCATAAAAAGGGGGGTTGGAATGAGATCATTTGAAGCACACAACTCGTCTTACACAAGGGATGTAAGATCTTCTGGTGTACGTAAACAGTAGAAAATATGATATACAAGAAAATACTTTGACTTTATGATGGAGGGAGATATTGACTGATGAATTCCTGACTATAATCTTACAGTCACAAGCTCAGTTAAGCAATGAGTGAGTGGTACAAATAATGAACCTATTCATTAACCATTGATATAATTGGAATAGTTCTTTTAAACAAAGAAATGCTCCCATTAGATCTATAAAATAAATAAATTACACTCTAATTAGCATGTTAACCCAGTTACTATAATTTCCCTGCTTTATTTAGATGCAGATTTTCTCTGACAATATTCAATAATGCAATAATTCCTTAGAAAACCTAAAATCTATAGACTTTAAAACTTCATGACTTAAACATATGTATAAAATATCATACCAAAATAACTATATCTATCTTTATAATCACGCATTAAAACAACTGCTACTTGAAACCATGACAAATTTTAGCAATTTAATATGCAATATATTCTCTAAATGGCATCGTGAGGTAATATTATTTCTGTTTCACCAGATGCTAATTTTGTCAATTCTTATCTTTAATCTTTATAAGAACAAATTTTAGCCATGTTAAAGCCGCAAGACATAATTTCAAAGTTAAATGTATCTCTTAATTATTCAATCTTATATTTAGATCTTAATTAGCCATATGTAATTCATGTGTTTTAAGTAACCTTTACCCAACTGAATCTATTGAGGAGATTCATCCCGCTTTAAATATGAAACTGTGTATTTTAAATTCAAGTGGTTTGAGAATCAAAATAGTTAACTAATCAGAGACATTTAAATTAATCTTTCTGGTCAGACTTCAGACTACATATTCTGAAATTATGATACCTTTAGTACTTCTGATATAAAGGTTTTTGACTTTTTTGTACAAGATATACAGAAATCTATTCACAGCACACAGGATCTTGAACTGGGCAGCCCAATCAACCTGTAACCCCAACAAATGGTACAAGTACATATTAGTTACCAACACACCAAGTATCAACAATATCGTCATAAAATGAAGGTGCCAGTAGAAATGTTAAAGTATATAAATAAGACAGAAGAAATGGTTAAAGATATAAAGGTAATGGTGGAAATGGTAAAATATATAAATATAATGGTGGAAATGGTAAAATATATAAATGTGATGGTAGAAATGGTAAAATATATATATGTGAGAGTAGAAATGGTAAAATATATAAATGTGAGAGTAGAAATGGTAAAATATATAAATGTGATGGTAGAAATGGTAAAATATATAAATGTAATGGTAGAAATGGTAAAATATATATATGTGAGAGTAGAAATGGTAAAATATATAAATGTGAGAGTAGAAATGGTAAAATATATAAATATAATGGTAGAAATGGTAAAATATATAAATGTAATGGTAGAAATGGTAAAATATATAAATGTGAGAGTAGAAATGGTAAAATATATAAATGTGAGAGTAGAAATGGTAAAATATATAAATATAATGGTAGAAATGGTAAAATATATAAATGTAATGGTAGAAATGGTAAAATATATAAATGTGAGAGTAGAAATGGTAAAATATATAAATGTGAGAGTAGAAATGGTAAAATATATAAATGTGATGGTAGAAATGGTAAAATATATAAATATAATGGTAGAAATGGTAAAATATATAAATGTGATGGTAGAAATGGTAAAATATATATATGTGAGAGTAGAAATGGTAAAATATATAAATGTGAGAGTAGAAATGGTAAAATATATAAATGTGATGGTAGAAATGGTAAAATATATAAATGTAATGGTAGAAATGGTAAAATATATATATGTGAGAGTAGAAATGGTAAAATATATAAATATAATGGTAGAAATGGTAAAATATATAAATATAATGGTAGAAATGGTAAAATATATAAATGTAATGGTAGAAATGGTAAAATATATAAATGTGAGAGTAGAAATGGTAAAATATATAAATGTGATGGTAGAAATGGTAAAATATATAAATGTAATGGTAGAAATGGTAAAATATATAAATGTAATGGTAGAAATGGTAAAATATATATATGTGAGAGTAGAAATGGTAAAATATATAAATGTGAGAGTAGAAATGGTAAAATATATAAATATAATGGTGGAAATGGTAAAATATATAAATGTGATGGTAGAAATGGTAAAATATATAAATGTAATGGTAGAAATGGTAAAATATATAAATGTGAGAGTAGAAATGGTAAAAAGAAAGTGGAGGGAGGAATGACAAAATCATACAACTACATGCTCCATAGAAAAGTACGGGAGATTATGGTGCCTGCACCATCAAATTATTAAACAATCATACCTAAAGATTGCTTGCAGATTTGCTGTAGTTCTTCTTGTTTTGCTTGTTTTTTGGCACGCTCTGACTCGCGTTTCTGAAAATATACAAAATGACATTGATAAGATTAGTAAACTTACTGTAAGACAAAAACGTAAAAAAAAATTTTTTTTCTAAAAGTAACAAAAATGAGGCACATTATTGTATGTGCACTCGTTGCTAGACAGTCAGTAAATATTTGAAAGAATGACAACTCCCGTTTTAGATATTAAGCCTGGTAAATATTAAAATCTATGATATAAAACAATAATCTGTGTAGGACTTAATGATACAAAACAATGATATGTGTAGTACAAGCACATTGATAAAACATCCAGAAGTACATAAAATATATAGACATACTTCTGACATTTCATCAAAGATTTTTAATTAATCAGCAACTTAATTGTTATTTCAGGTAGGTTCTTAATATCTAGATGTTTTAATCTACAAAGTAGATTAACAAGACATAATTTAACTAAACAGAAATAGGTGTAACAATATAGCATAATGACCACTATACAATCATTACATCATCATTGTGACAAAATATTCATAACAAAATATTTTGCTTTGTATTTTTTTATTTAAAAACACATTTTTAAGTTATTTAGTCAATCAAAAAATGTTGACTCTTTAAAGGTCCGCTATATTGTATTTACCTGCGCCCTATAGAATGATATTTCATCATCTCATTGCTTATTTGCCTCCTAATGTATTAAAGTTCCCTTCCTTTACAGCACTCTAACAATATTGTAACATTAATAGCATTACCTTCACAGAAATAAGACTTTACGTTTAATATAATAACACACTATCTTTCAAGTAACGTTACTCTACCTTCACAGTAAGATTACTCTAATGTAATCTTCACAGTAATGTTACTCTTCTTTCACAGTAACATTACTCTACCTGCACAGTAACATTACTCTTTCCTCAAAGTAACATTACTCTACCTTCACAGTAGCATTACTCTACCTTCACAGTAACATTACACTACCTTCAAAGTAACATTACTCTTCCTTCACAGTAACATTACTCTTCCTTCAAAGTAACATTACACTACCTTCACAGTAACATTACTCTTCCTTCAAAGTAACATTACTCTACCTTTACAGTAGCATTACTCTACCTTCACAGGAACATTACTCTACATTTTCAGTAACATTACTCTACCATCACAGTAACATTACTCTTCCTTCAAAGTAACATTACTCTACCTTTACAGTAGCATTACTCTACCTTCACAGGAACATTACTCTACATTTACAGTAACATTACTCTAACTTCACAGTAACATTACTCTTCCTTCAAAGTAACATTACTCTACCTTGACAGTAACATTACTCTTCCTTCAAAGTAACATTACTCAAGCTTCACAGTTACATTACTCTACCTTCAAAGTAACTCAGTAACATTTCTCTTCCTTCAAAGTAACATTACTCAACCTTCACAATAACATTACTCTACCTTCACAGTAAGATTACTCTACATTTTCAGTAACATTACTCTACCATCACAGTAACATTACTCTTCCTCAAAGTAACATTACTCTACCTTCACAGTTAAATTACTTTACCTTCAAAGTAACATTACTCAACCTTCACAGTAACATTACTCTACCTTAATAGTAACATTACTCAACCTTCACAGTAACATTACTCCACCTTCACAGTAACATTACTCTTCCTTCAAAGTAACATTACTTTACCTTTACAGTACCATTACTCTACCTTCACAGTAACATTACTCTACCTTCAAAGTAACAATACTCTACCTTCACAATAACAATACCCTACCTTCACAGTACCATTACTCTACCTTCACAGTAACAGTACTCTACCTTCACAGTAACATTACTCTACCTTCACAGTAACATTACTCTACCTTCACAGTAACAGTAGTCTACTACTCTAGTCTACAGAAACAGAATATGCATTCTATATCCATTACTTATTCAAATTGTACCAATTCATTTTTCATTTTATAAAAAAAACAAAGATAGTACCTGAATGGAAGAAATTGAGAATTTTAATTAACCTAAAGATAATAAAAGAACAAAAAGACAATGACAGTAAAAAGAATGCAATGACTCATCAAAGAATAAGGACATAACATGTCTTTACATTATTAAAATAAGAAGTCATTTTCCAGAGGGTGTAATTTTCATAAACAAAAGCCAAAATGAAATAGATATGACGGAACGATATAAGAAACAGATAAAACCTAAAAAAGAAAAGTAAATAATGAATGTAAACCATTATAAATAAACTACCAACCATGGTAAAATCCCTTTCAAATTTTACATTTATATATTTCTTTCCATTATAGTTACTCATGCAAAAATACACAGGTAGACTTTTTTTGTTTCAAACCATTTTGCTATATTCAAACAATACTGATAGATAACAATCTCTTACATTTTGAATTAACATGCTTTGTTTACAATACAAGGCATACCCACTTAAATCTCTTAACAGTCTACAGTACTTTAGCCTTCTAAATGCATTCTACAATTTGACAAATACCTCGGATATATCTATTCTTCAAACAAGAATGGTCTATACAAAAGAGCTCATAAAATGTTTCCCAATACTTCAACATCAAATACTTAACCAAAAACCACTTGAAATGTTTTATGAAGATGTTTGTACATGATCAGTGTTAACTGAATGTTTAAAAAAAATTTGAAATGCCAACAGAAACATAAAGACCTTGAAGGCATGACTGATTTATTAGGACCTTCAAACCACTGCAGAATCATAAAGACATAAGACCACTGAGTATTTTAATTTTTATGTCATATAAATAGATGATAATTGCATGAATTGATACAATTCAAGTCAAGGCTGATAATTATTTTAAAAGCAATGTGAAAAATAATAGGGGAACAAAGTATGTATGGCAGCATGTTCCATGTTTAATTGCTCAATTTGAAAACATTAATTTGTTTAATTCCTTTTTTCCACATACTAATTAATATATTTTTGTAAGAATTTAATAAGTCCATAATGTGCTACTGAATACAAAATGTGTTTATTCTGGATAGAAATCATTTATTTTCTGCCATAAAAGTGTTATTTTTGTTGTAATAAATAATATAATAAATATATAGTCTATATACATAATAATTCTATCTAAGGTAAAACCCTGCCCATACAAAATTAGATGGATAATAGAGAAATTTTGCATCTTTTCCTAACCAAAAACCACATTACATTATCCATCCCCACCCCACCCCTCTGGAGTTATCAGGTTCCTTAGAATACATTAAACCCACTTAAAATCCTACTGGAAATGAAAGGAAATGATAAGCATTTGCTGCCAGCTGGCACTTCCTGTAATATGACTGTAGATGCCTTATCAATATCAAATTTTTCATTTTTATAATTCCCCAAAATTGTTTAAAAAAACTGTTTTTATCATATCTTTGGAAAAAATTCAATCAAATATTCCTAACATACAAAAATTCATCATGTAACCATCTTAAAAGTACATGTAACATTTCACAATGTTTCGTAGTTAATGCCAATAAACAGCACATGATCTTTATGATAATTATGTGACTGTTGTAGCTGAAAAAGGAAAAAAAAAAAATGCTTTACATCAAAATCAACAAAATCCAAAGGTACTCAATAAGCTGCTTGTACTTTAAAGTAAATTTTTTTTTTATGTGTTATTCAGAATACTAATAAAGTCGTTAGCCTGCTCAGGCAAAAACGGAGTCTACCCTGCAACCTGAGTGCAGACCAAGATCAACTTGCACGCACACATGTGCTGTCTGATCATGGTCTGCACTATTCCCTCGTTCAGTTATACCTTAATTAAAAATTTTCCCCCAAAAAATAATAAAATGCATGACAGTTGTACAACATTCCAATACCTTTAATAACTAATCAATCAAATAATGGCTGATCATGTCATAATTGGCTGCAGATAATATTCCCAAAGGATCCCATGTCATATTTTATTCTATCATTTTATTATTACATAAATTATAGTCATCACTCAGCCATGTTGTTTCTATAATGCAAAAATAAAGCTCAGTTGGTGCTATAAAACCAACAAAATAAAGCAAAGGTATGTGCAAATACCTTTAGGAAGGTGAGGAAAGTTGGCTCTTCCAATAGTGTTGCTTTCACTGAGTGCTAAACTCCCATTGGGTGTTAACATGATTAAATTGGTAGCCTGGAACACTTTAAGTCCAGGAGACATGCATAAACCACATGAAAGCATCATTATATGAGAATTCAATAAATTCTTAATTGAACTAGGTGTTATTTTACACTAAATGAACCTTTTATTCCATTGATCATACAATCTGAAACATGACTTTTCAATATTGGAACATCTTGTTTGGAACATAGGATTAGAGCTAGCATAATTATTATATTCCGAGTCTGATTGATAAAAAAAAAAATAATTCCGCGTTCATCAACATTTCATTACCTGGCCTGTTTAATTAAGAAAGCAATTTGGTAGGGAGAAAATAATAACAAGACAGGACTTGCTGTGGAAAGGACATTTTTAGTTCTTATCCCATGAATAATGGAAGTTCTTAATTCTTTCTCCATAATATCACTTAAACATTGCTATTTTTTCTGATTGCAATGACGGCAAGGGGCAAATAGTTTGATCATGGAGTGACTCAAAACTACTTGACACTGTAGGTCCCTATTATTGTTTAGTATAATATGCTAAATAAAAGTCAGTTACATGACTGTATGAATTTTACCAGAGAACTGAACAGATTATATAAGTTTTGTAATATTTAATGTAAAATGAAATAAATAATATACATGCTCCAATTTAATATTATATACTTTTTATATTTATCAAAATGTTTAGTATGATACATTTCTCTCTTAAAGCAAGTTTAAAATTTCATCACAACCTTTTTTTTTCATATAAAATAAACCCCCCCCCCCGATTCAGGTTTACCAAACCAACAGTAACTGACAAACAGTGTGAAAGCAGTACTTTGAATTACAAATAAAAATGTGTTAAAATCAGCATAAAGAAAAAAACAAACAAAACAAACAAACAAAAAAAACAGAA